ATATGACAATTTCAATTAATTTTTACACCCATGTGATATCTTGAAAAAAATAAGATATACAGGAATTATTAGGATTAAAAAATTAATTTCATGTAATGACTAAACATACAAAATAAATTGTTGAATTGTCTTGCATTGTTAAGGTACCAGGAGGAGATACATCTGGTTTTAAAAAATAAACTTAAGAAGGAAGGAAGATTTGCAACTCGAGCCCACACACCATGAGGCAGGATCATATATTTTTTTTGTCTCATGAAAAAATAAAGTTTGGTATTGCTAGAGCGTTTTAAAAAAGAAATAAAAATTTACGGGTTATCAACCTGATGAGGTTAAATAAGATGATTTTATTTTCATTATAAAAAAAATAAATAACTACAACAAATGAATCAAATAATAATAAAAATGATTGTAGTAACTTGAATAAAAAAAAACCCCTTTAGTCTAAAAAATCAAACTAGGATGAAGCAAGAAAAAAATTTAATTTTATAAACCATCTCAATATATATATATATTGGATGGTAGTTTATTTCTTTTAAGGGCACTTTAGTATGTGATAAAAAAAAAGAAGCAAAAAAACTGAGGTGTCCCTAGTTAATTGCATAATAACTAATGAATTACTGGAAAAAATTAAATTACTCTTAACACTAAAGCTACTGGGAAGGCCATTGATTTTTTTGATTAAACTCTAGTGGTGAATAGTAAATTCAGTCTATATGCACATTAAATTTGCCTTTTGTTTTAGTCTTTTTTTGTTATTTATAAATTTTGAAAACAGGAATAACGGCCTATAATAATAAAAAAAGATCCATTGGAGATGTAATTAAGAATTAAAAACACATTAGGTATTGCAAGGATTTATCAGAGAATATTTTGAATTAATTAATAAAATCTTTTAGTCATCGATTAAATTGAAGAATTCTCGTAATATAATTATGTTTTTCCATTGATAAAAGGAAGGTCTTGCAACAATCAACACCTGTATTTATTAAATTTCTTCCAAACATGCATTTAATTAATTGTTTATATATATATATACAAAAAGAGAGGCTAGAACTGGAGATTTTTTTAATAGAAGATCGATGGTTGCATTTTGTAGTTAGATGAGCATGATTATGATGAGATTATATTAACCACACATATTCCTAATTAGAGAATTTAATTTTATTACATTTAATTAATGGTTGATTTAAGTGTTGGTAAGATATATCCATAACGATATATATACACACATCAGTGCCAGAGGACAGATTAATATTGTGATTTAAAAAAAAAAATGTGATGATAAAAATTAATCCGCAATTAATTCGGCCTTGATTGCATTATTACAAAATCTACCAAACTTATCATTAGGGTTTCTGATGATTGAATGCATGGTTGGTGAAGTTATAAGGGTCCTTGCTTGGAGAACGCTGCCAGTGCTCGATCATGTGCTCATAATGCAGCCAAAATTCATTAATTTTGTACTGGTTGGCTTCTCCACATGAGACATGCCTGGTTGACTTCACCTCAATATATAACAAATTTTCAGATTTAACACGACCCAGGCTCTGTAATTAAAACAAATATTAAATAACTTATACTCTAACTAGATATTTATTCTTACATTTCAAAAATTTTTATTTTTTTATTTTTTATTTTAAATTAATATTTTTAGATCAATTTTAATAAATTAATATTAAAAATAATTTTTCAAATAAAAAATTATTATTACATTCTTAAATACCACCACGGAGACCGAGTACTAGGTAGGTTCATGGAAACCAACTTCTGGTTTCTTCACGCTCTGTGAAAACACATTGGAAGGGAACGTGACCTCGCCCTAGCCAAGATTTTTTTTTTATTATTGGAATTATGTGACGGCTTGGATATTTGAGGGTAGCTAAATAACTTTTTTCTTGCCCGGCTTTTATAAATAATAAAATTAAAGTTCTATCTATATGTAAACTAAACTAGTTTAGGATGCTTTTATTTGAAACGTTAATCAGATATATTATCTTTTAAAAGAGTTAAGATTAAAATTAGATTTGTAATATTAAATTAAATTAGTTTTCTCCTCTCACATCAATTGCTGTTTAATTGTTGTAATATCAAAAATATGTTGAAATCGTCCAGGAGATAGCCTAATAATAAAAATTTAAAATTAAAAAGTTTGTTTTTATGTATTTTCAAGTTTAAGTTTTATAGTTGTTGATGCGATAATTATTGAAAATTTATATAATTATTAATTTAAAAATTTATAAAATTAATCGAGATGAACTGATCTGTATATCTTACATTAATAAATAAATAAAAATTGTTGAACCATCCTCTCGTTGTTTACTAATTTTAAATTAAGAAGTATTAATACCATACTATTTGAATATAATACTAGTAGGTATATGTATGTTTTGGGCTTTGCGAGAAGGCAAGGCGCGTTTGAGTTTTCCTTTATGGGATCCAAAAAATAAAACCATTAAAAAAAACATCTACTTATAGCTTTTAGCGGGATTTAAATTGTGCTTAAACAAATTATACTACAAATAAAACTCAAAGTCACCAAACCCTACCTCATTTCCAAACACAATTAGCCGTAAAACTCTTACACGGTGGCGTAATTAGAAACCTTTACTTGGGCAAGCCAAGACACATGGGCATGGACCCCATGAATTATTAAGAGCAAAACAAGCACATTAGTCCACGGTCTCAACGATCAATCTCTGTCGGGACTCGAGTTAGGTTGCTGCGAGGGCTATTATGTAAGAACGCATGTATAGTCTCTGCACAAGCCATTTTCCCAGGAAAAAAAAAAAGAAAAAAGAAGAAGAAATTAGCCCGTTCAAGTCAATTTCCACGCATTAAATACGACTGTCCTGCTTTCGAACGTCGCTTTCTCCTTTGAATTCTGGCGAGATGGCAGCGGGTAGATATTGGAATCTAAAGGTAGATTTCTGAAATGTACTCTGCTGATTGAGACCTTGTTTTGGAACAACGAATCCATGAGGGGAGCTGGGCAGCCCCGCGCATCGTACGATACAAATATATTATATTATATTATATTATATAAAATGAGGATGAGCATTAGAAATGACACTGCACGCGCACATTTTCTCACAGAAAACACCGTTCACCAAGATATATTAAACTAACGGTTTATTTGTTTTATTAAAAATAATTTTTTTATATTTTTATTTAACATTAAAAAATTAATAAAAATACAGTAAAAAAATAGACTTAATTTCTTGAAAAATATTTTTTTGATTTTAAAGAGAAATACAAAAAATACCTTATTATTTTTTAATTATATCAAATTTGATTTGGTTCTTAATTTTTTAATTATTATATATTTTATTTTGAATTTATTTTAATTATATTCATTATAATTTGAATTGATTTAATTTTTATATTAATTTTAATTTTTATTATTTTTATTATTCTTTTTTTCTATTATCCTTATCTTAATTGAATTTCTTTATTTATTAGATTTTGTTTTCATTTCTTTGATTATTATTTATTTTATTTAAAATTATTTATAAAGTTAGAATTTTTTAATTTTAATTTTTTTTTAAAATGTATCATGAAATTTAATTTTTTAATTATTTTTAATAATATTATTAAATATTAAAAAATAATTTATTTTTCAAGATTTACCATTAGTGAAAACTATTTTTCAAAAAGAAGTTGCCTTTGCGAGTAAACGGGGCCAGATATTTATAGTGGTATTTTTGTGATTTCATATAATTTTTAGGGCAAAAAAGGTTTAGACGATGGTAGCTTATCGATGGTGATTATCAGCTCCCTGGTAATAGGTAAATGGAGATCAGAGGCCAAGAATGTAAAACCACGTCCACTGTTCTGTTAAACAGAGTCAACAAAGTTAAAAACACAGGACATGAAAAATTTTAGTGTAATAATCCATTTTCTCATTTTTTTTCTTTTAAATTTAAACCATTAAAATTTTACTAATTAAGTATAAATCTAGCAGATATGAGTTTTTCACTGTGTAGGTGTGTACTATTCTTATAGATGTAACATGTAAATTTTTTAGATATCATTAATAATTATTTATTTATTTATTAGCATATATAGTTCCTATTTATTTGATTATATATATATTTATAAAAAAAATTATTTGAACTTAAATTTTTGAAATTACCAAAACATGTTGAAAAAGCTTATATATACCCACAATTTCTTTTTCTTTATATAAAAAAGAAAAACTTTTAACCCGGAATGGTGGCATGACTAGTATTTACTCTAATTACCACGAAAAAATGCTTTGAAAATGAAAAGGCAGCAACTTGCAGGCGTTTTCTTGTGAGCTCTGGTGATCCTCTCAAATGCTATGTTGCACAGCCAATCTACCGTAGCGTATCCATGTATGGCTTTTATTAGACTCTCGTACGTAGAAAATTGGGAAAGAAATAGTCAATCTTCGAGGTAGGTAGGTGTGTGTTGTGGAATTACACTTTTGTCGGATATGTATCTTCGAACTTTCAACTTTGGCTTATAGTGAGACTCTCGATCACTAGTGAATGTTTGTTTTTGGGGTAAAAATAGTGTTTTAAAAAAAGAATTAATGTGTTAAAATCAAAAATAAAATTTAAGGAAATAAAAAAATATTATCTTAATATATTTCTAAATAATTTATTTTTTAAATGATCCCAATCATAATTCTTTCTTAAACACGAATGAAATCTTACCATTTGTTGTGCTCCATTCAAGCAGCATTATAAAATGTGTTTTTATTTTGTCTGGTTATAAGGGGAAGGTTCGAATTGAAGATATTTTGAAGAGAGGAGAGACTCTGCTACGCTTTGTGATAGCACTCATTCAGTGTAATTTAAAATATAGAAAAACAAAGTAAAAAACAAAAGAAGCCCCCTGAAGCTTATCATTTGGGATGGCCGCTGTAGCGCCATTTTCCAATCCCAAATCACATGCCTCCACTCTCATGGCCATGACCCTCCCCTATTTAACCACTTCCGCCACCTCCTTCTCCCCAACACCCTTCACTTCAAACAAATTACATTCTATTCTCCTCTCGACTCTTCGTCCTATCCATCTATCCGCACAAACTTCAGACTTGCTAGTTTCTTCATTTGGAAGACAGCATCCCCGTCATTCTCTTCTCCTCTCTCTAATCTTCTATTTAACACTTTGGAAATTAACTACGTTTGTTCAAAGACTTGTCCTTTTCTCTTAATCCCTTTTTCCCATTTTAAGGAGCCAACACACAAACTCTTCTTAATGTATAACACTTGTCTTAAAATACCAGACATGTTTCAAACTTCTGGTCCTAATCATGACTTCTTTGCTCACCGATGTGTATGGGTGAACGGACCTGTCATCGTTGGGGCTGGCCCTTCAGGTCTAGCTGTTGGTGCTGGCCTTAAGAGACAAGGGGTGCCATTCGTTATACTCGAAAGAGCAAACTGCATTGCCTCTCTTTGGCAAAACCGCACCTATGATCGCCTCAAGCTTCACCTCCCTAAGCAATTCTGTCAACTACCGGACTTCCCATTTCCAGAGGAGTTCCCAGAATATCCCACCAAGTATCAGTTTATTAGCTATCTTGCATCTTATGCTAAGCATTTCGATATAAATCCACATTTCAATGAGATTGTGCAGTCTGCGAAGTATGATGAGACCTTTGGTTTGTGGCGAGTTAAAACCATTTCAACAAGCAGTTCAGATATTCCTATTGAAGTCGAATACATTTGCAAATGGCTTGTGGTGGCCACTGGAGAGAATGCAGAGAAAGTTCTGCCAGAGTTTGAAGGCTTGCAGGACTTTGGTGGCCATGTTATGCATGCTTGCGACTACAAATCCGGTGAAAGTTATCATGGAAAGCGTGTGCTTGTTGTTGGCTGTGGCAATTCAGGCATGGAGGTCTCTCTTGATCTATCCAACCATAACGCATGCCCATCAATGGTTGTTCGCAGCTCGGTGAGTAAGCATGTCTTGCAGAATTTGCTATCCTCATCATTAATAGGCCTTCAGCTTATACAAGTTCAAACAATAATTTGCTCTCGATTAATTACTGTAATGATCTACAGGTTCATGTCTTGCCTAGGGAAGTTCTTGGGAGATCAACATTTGAGTTGGCAGTAACAATGATGAAATGGCTGCCACTTTGGATGGTCGACAAGGTATTATTACTTCTTTCCAGGCTAATCCTCGGAAATGTTGAAAAATATGGTCTGAAAAGGCCATGTTTAGGACCTTTACAGCTCAAGAATACTCATGGAAAAACCCCAGTATTGGACATTGGTGCACTAGAAAAAATAAGATCTGGTAAGATCAAGGTTGTCCCTGGAATCAAGAGATTCTCTAGTGGCAAAGTGGAGCTTGTCAACAGTGAAATTCTTGAGATCGATTCTGTAATTCTGGCAACTGGGTATCGCAGCAATGTACCTTCATGGCTAAAGGTGAGAAATTGGTTTGCCATTGGTTTTTCTATTTTTAGGATTTTTATTACAGTCATGGAAGTGGGTATTGCTTTAGAATCTATGCCTCTGTTTTTGATTGAGACAGCTTTGTTTCAGAGATTTTGGAACTGTGGTCCGGTTGCTAGTTTTTTCAATGGTTTATGTTTTGTCCTATTCATGGATCAGAAATAATAGTCAATGCTGAGAAGGGTTTTTTCCACTCTCATTCCTCTCACCACCCATGCATTTGTGAGTTAGTGTTGCCTGGTAGTTTTTACCCGGCAGGCATACACAGGAGACATTAATGACTTGGAAATTTCAAAATGAATCAGGGCATGTCAGGTTGCTGCTGCATCTGATTTTTTTTTTCTTGGTATCTATCGGGTCGTTGGATTCTTTTTCAGTGACCATTTGTTTGTGGTGACCATTTCCTCTTTGGGAAAACTAAGTTTCAGACATCATCTCTGCACAAATTCCACAAACTACGATTTATACAACTGAGCTAATCTAAATATTTGGAATGTTTGTGGTTCTCAGGAGAATGAATTCTTTGCTGAAGATGGGATTCCTAAAAATCCATTCCCTAATGGATGGAAAGGCAATGCTGGGCTTTATGCAGTTGGGTTCACAAGGAGGGGTCTATCTGGGGCGTCTCTAGATGCTATGAGCGTAGCACTTGACATTGCCAAAATCTGGAAAGAAGAAACCAAGCAAAAAAAGAAAACTGTGGCAGCTCGTCATAGGAGATGCATTTCGCATTTCTGAAGCCGCTTTTTTTTTTTTTTGTCTCTTCATTTCTTTTGTTCAGGGACAGAGATAAAAAAGAAAAAGAAATGAGATCAGTTTGTGTAGAAAATAATGTAGAGCACAAGAACCGTAGCCCTCTCCTCAAGAAAACCCAAGATTTGCAAATAATTGGGGTTTTTTTTTTTTTGTACAAAGGAAGATGAGGCTTATTGGTGTAATAATTTTTTTCCTGGTTCAAAGGAATTTTGTATCACACTTTTTTAATTAATAATAAATTATCCAAGTCAAATGGTCATAATCAACAGATGGGCCATATCTCATCTCTTGGTCCACCTAGGGAAGATCAATAATGTGGGCCCAGGTCCATTAACAAACAGCCTCACAAAATCTCTTCAGGGAACAGATCTGTATGAGAGAGAGAGTTTTCATGTTGCTTTGCACATGGACAGAGAGCCCACAATAGCGAAGGATAAACCCTGTCATTGGAGATGGAGGTGTTGTTCTAATCGAAAAGGTGAAGAACACGACTTCGCAAATCTCAACCAATCCAAACTGTGAAACGTTGCCTTCAATGCCATGTGTTTCCTGCTGGCTTCAATATCCTCTTGGGAGGAAGATTCATCTATGTTCAATGCTTCTGATATAAGATGTCGAACACCTTCCGCCGCCGCCCCTCTTCTTTCTGGGGTCTAAACCAGAAATATCTGTGCTTGCCATCGCTAGTTGCGAATTATCTATTGAATGACATGAGAGTCTAGGGACTCGTGGTTTAGGGATGATTAGAAGCCTAAGTTTCTTACGAACTTGAATGGAGAAATTTATGCATATACTGCCAAATCGGCAAATCTTGCACCACCACCAATACCAGAATCCTGTTGGCTTTATATATTCATACAATTGAGTTGCTAGTTTAGCCAGCATGGCCGCCAGCCATGTGCAAACAAAACTTGGCCTCACCTTTTCAATTCAGGTTTTGCTAGAACAATTTCCCTAAAACATTACAAAGAACTATATACCAAAATATTAGAGTGAAAAATAAAATGAAAAGTGAGAGTGAAGACAACCCATGAGTGCCCATGCTTTTGATTCACATGTGCAAAGGTAATACAATGGCCCATTTGAAAGCAGCTACCTGTGGTCAACGTATTTTAAGCTAGAGAAACAAAGATTTGATAGTTTGGAAATTGCACTACTTCTAGACTACAACATTCAAAACTTGAACTGTATATGTGTCCAATTCCACTAGAATATCTAGGGTGGTTCTCACAGTCCTGTATCCTCTTACTTGGACATCACAGTTACCGGGAAAGGAAAACACATGAGGTGGCCACCACCTTGCATCCCTTCTTGTTCCACCAATAGCCCATTCCTACTGGTTCTGAATCTTATAGTATATGTCAATGTACTACTTTCAACAAGTTCTATACAGCAATTATATCCCACGAAAAATTGCAGATATACAGTCCTGTATGCGTGTGCAATTGTGCATGCATGTATTTCGTACAAGGGTTTTGAAAGAGGCTGAGACAGGAAGTTACTAACCTATAATCAAAGTAGCATAAAATTTCTCTCATGTCCAGCATGGATAGTCATTGTCTGATGGATTAAAAAATGGGAATGCATGTATTTACAGAATTATATACTCATTACCTACGCTCTAATATTTAGACATACAACTAAGTGCATGTGCAAAATAAATAAAATATGGCAAGGTCGCATAGCCTAGAATGACCCTAAACCGAGAGAAAAACAGTTGACAAATGGGATCTGGCTTATCTCTGTAAACTGTTCCAACTCGCGGAACCTAGCTTGCCGACCCTTGCATGCGAGAACTTGCACCTTAGAATATGTATTCCTTTTGCTAATCTTTGCCTAGTCTTTTGCTAATCTTTGCCTAGTAATTCCAGCTACAAAATTTGTTTGTTTTTCCTTTTCTTTTTATTTAAAGGGGTATGAGTGTGGGGAATTGTTGGATATACGAAACAGGGGATTTTCATTGATAAGCTAACAAGCCTACAGTCTGTGTGTCTTTTCAGAGCTGGTTAGTATTGAAAACTGAAAAGGCCAATAAACACCAGGAGTTGTGTTCATTTAGTGCAGTTATGTGTTCAGATAATTCAAACTTCATGTTTTATTTTGGTGACATGCACGCAAAGATAGCTAGAGCAACATCAGTCTTGTATCAATTAGCTGATAATAGATCGCACAGGAGGTTCCCAATTTTAGCAGCATAAACCATAAAGGACTAGGGTATGTAAACCATCAAAAGAATTAATTTTTTTCAAGGAAAATGGTTAAGGATAAGCTAGCAAGCAAGTCAATAGTTATATGGCTTACATGGAAGCACCTGACAGTCACTTGTGAAATTTTAAGCTGCAAGATATACCATGTCATTGCCTAAAAATAACCTTAATACATATACAATACAAGTTCAAAATTTTCACATACATTGAAGCAGCTTCAGCATCATTTGTTCTGTAGCATCAGATCAATCTGACCATTCTTGTTGTATGATTCCACAATTTTCTTTGCGTATGAAGGTGTGTGCCTGTCAGCTCTGCATGTGTTGCAAGTATTAAAAGCAACGGCAATGCATTATCAGAAAGTTCATTATTCATTTTACTCAATTACTGTACCTATCTTTTCCCCAAGTACGGTTTGTGTACAAATAGTTTCTGATGGTATGGTAGTCTAGTGAATAACGAGCAAATTCCAGACCCTTTGGACCAACCTGGTTAAAAAGAGGCAAGTCAGAATGAAATATTTTCTAGGTTGCTTTATTACTAATGCATCAGTTAGGGAAATCCTTACCAAGTTCAGTAAAAACGCTATAAAATTTCCAATGAACTTTGGGGCAGGTTGAGAAGGACCCTTTCCTGGGGAAAAATGACGAGGATTCAAACAGGTCATCAGATTGCTTTTATTCTTTGATAAATGAAAGATTCAATTATGAAAGAAAATAATATATATCATCCTAAGCCAAATAAAAGATAAAACAATAAAACATGAAGTTTTATAAGTCTTTCAACTACAAAGAATTCTAGTAAGGTATGGTATTGGTGTAAATAAATTAAAGGATAATTTCTCATAAGAATATTCAGACTTGCATGAGCACTTGAGCACAAGTTCCTGAATAGAGTGAAATCTTTTACCACTCATTAAATCCTAGAGAGTTTTTCCACAAAACAGTGAGATATGGCCATTAGATCAGATGGCCAACATCGCTTTACCATGAATTGTTTTAGGATCCCCATCTAGTGAACGTCCCATGCAAGGCATTTAAGGAGCTTAAAGCCCATGATTAGGGTCCCAGAAAAAATGGAAAAAGCTTTCATAAAATAAGGAGAAATGCCACACATACCCAGCTTTGCATTATCATCAGCATTGACAGTCTCCATAACAAATGGTCTCCGGTCACCCTGCAATAATATATTCATATTTGAAAGTCAAGAGTTTCCAGTTTACAGAAGAACTAGAGAAACCTGAATGTGATAGAGCTTAGGGTTTTACACTATTGATTGTTGGGGTAATCTCCAATAGGTTTTTTACCAAACCAATCATTTCTCTTCCTCGTTCATTTCTACAAATGAAGGCATTAAAAAAAGTTGTTATCATTAAAACACTACCAATCAACATCAAACAAAGTAACATCTCAGAATGACAAACTAATGATGTAACTAGTTTCAAGCATACTCCTACATCTGACTCACCTTACTGTAATATATTGTGGATGCTGTGTCATGCTGACCCCAGGATACTTCGGCACACCCATGTATCCAACCACAAGATCCTGAACTTTGATATATAAAAAAGTATTATGTAAAGTCGAGTCATATTATCCATAAGGAATTGAATCTGTTCCCGGTGCTTGTGCAAGTAAATCCTTGTGTTAATATAGTTCCTCAGATTGAAAGCCGAAATAAATGAATGACTGATTGAGCATTTTAGATATGTTGGTCACTGTTCAGGTAGAATGTGACAAAACCATAGAAGATGATATGCTGGTGAAAATAATTCATCTCACCGCTAAAGCATTCGTGTAGTCGAAGCAGCTGTAGGAAACCCAAAAAAAAAAACAAGGTAATTAGAATAATCTAAAACAGAAAAACAAGTTTTCTGTTCAACCAAACTTAACCTTCTCCAACTCTAAATGTATTTAACATGATAGACAGGAGTGACCAGGAATTATCAGTTTGATGGTGAAGTTCTTTCAACATGGTAAAGTCAGCAATGTCTAGTTAAATCAATTTTCGAATGCAGTAATACTTCACATTTCAAGCTATGTGTCTAGAGAGAGAATGTAGCTCATCTTATCATTTTTTTCTCATTGGAGAGAGAGGAAAAAATGGACAATAAATAAAAGCAATAATTGCCATCTAAAACTGGGCATACGTTTCCATCAACCTATGTATATAATTACAATCCCCATGGATAGTTTTCTATTAAAAAAAAATGACATGAAATTTTCTAATCTGCTAATCTGGTCACTATAAGAATGTTCAATGATACTGTATCTTAAGACAAGTGAATTACCTATAGCATGAAGGTGCAATAACATCAACTAACTCGTTTGCTGGCAGACAGAAATAAGGAACCTGCTTTAGTTAAGATTTGAAAGACATGAAACAGCAGGGATTGTTAGACTTGGACCAACCAGAAAGCAGAGGGGATGTATTACCTCTTCAATACGGCCATCCAAGTGCTTCAAATGGACCTAAGAAAGGATGAACAAAGGATCAAGCTTTGGACACAATAAGATGAGGTCACTCTTCTCTCCTTCAGAGATAAGGCTAGTTATAAATGTATGTTTGTGTGTGTGTGTGTGTGACTATCATACTTTCCTGCATAACAAATCAGTGTTCTTAGAAAATAGATTGATGAATGCTCTTTTTTCTCCTTTTCCCCTCTCTTAGCAAGGGAAAATAGATATTATAAAAACAAGATGTCCATCCAATAGCAAAAGGCATGCTGATCCAGTTGTCTTATGCAGCATAGCATGCTCATATATTGCTTACATTAATATCCTACAGATACAAGAAATCTCTTATTTAAGTTTGTGTTTTGTTTTTTCTCATGAAATGTAACATCATGAAGATCAGAGCTCATATGAAATCCATTAGAAGAAGACAAATGTGTTCAAGTCAAATGATTAATCAGCACAAACCTTGTAGTCTTGCATAAACTCATAATGGAGAACAGTTTCTGGTTCATCACTAGCAGCCTTTAGAAACTTATCAAGCCCTTCTCGGGTTCCATTATCCACT